TGGCTCGCCTTGGTCGGCGCCGGCGCGTTTGGCGGCACGAGAGCAGGCTGCTTGACCGTCGGAGCGCTGCGAATCGTCGCTGTCATGGCGCCATCGAGGGTGGACGAGGCGGCCGAGGACGAAGGGTGCGGATGGACGGATGAGTGAGCATGGTGACTCGGCGCGTGAGACTGGTGTCTGGCTATAGCCAGGCTTGGCGAGCCTGGCTCCATCCTGGGTGGCATCATGGAAAGCTGTGCACTCGTGTCGATCGACGAGGCAGACGTGGGCGCGGCGGCGGGCTGCCGGGATGACGGGACTGCCCACGCAGCATCGAGGCTGTTTGCCGAAGAGAACGGTGCGGGAAGTGCGGCGGCTCGCATCGGCAGCTGGCCGACGCTGCTGCTGGCGACGGCTTGTGCATGCTGCGATGCGGACCGCACGTCTGCATTGATCATGCTCGGTGAGAATTGCGGCGCACTGCAGTCGTGTCAAATATTTGGGCGGAAAGACCGATCGCGCGACGATGAAGGAAGCGGAGAGCGGAAAGCGGAAAGCGGAAGGAAGAATGCAGGCTCGAGTCAGAAGACGGGCTCTCGGTGAGCGTGGAGGAGCCGATGCAGTGCGGACTTACCTGTTGGCGGCAAACGAGTGCGGCCTCGATTGCGCAGCCGCACGAGCCGGCTCACCCGCAGGCGGAACGTCGAAATAAGCTCCAGGAGGCGAATTCCAGGAAGTCACATTCGGGCTCTGGCCGGGGCCGGCAGCGTGCGCTGAGGGTCGGGAAGCGTGCGGCTGTGACCTTGCGTTTTGGTGTGCGGGCGGCCACTGCGAGAATTGGTGGGCAGCGGCGCTGTGCGGATTAGAGGGTGATTGTGCATATGGCGGCACCTTGGCGGGCTGTACAGTCGATGTCGGATTCGGTCCGAAGCCTGAGCATGGAAAAGGAGCGGAAGCTCCGAGCTTTGGGTCAGCAGACGTCCGGGCTTGATCCTCTGGCAGCGTAGAGGCGGGCCACTCACCGTGATTGCCTTCGTAATAGCCGTTGGCGTTGTGCATCGAGCTGATTGTTGCGTTTTGGTGGGATGGCCGGCGTGTCGGCGAGGCTGGCGACGGCGATTCGAGACCGGCCATAAGATCGAATGTCTTGCCCGTCGACGGACCCCTCGAAAAGACGTCCGACGCGGGAGATTCCGAGACCGAGGCTCGATGCCTGTCAACGCTAGATGCAGCGTATGGCGACTCGTACGCCAATTGCTGCTGCATTGCGGAGATCTGCGGAAAAGGCTGTGCATTCGAGTGGTTGGAGGGTGACGAGAGAAGTTGGGGAATGCCGTGCTGGTGCTGGTGCTGGTGCTGGTGCTG